TTGTGCTCCCTCCTGATCATGACCTGTTTTTTCTCAATCAACAGTAACTGATATTTTGATATTAATGGTAATTATTTTCTTACTTTTCTTTATATTATACCAACTAAATTTGCATCCATACATATGATAAGTTAGTTCTTCCTCTATTTTTTACACCATATAAATGAAAGCATAGAGTTGATATCTACTTTGTTTTGCTCAAAATTATGTTTGTGTAATTTACCCATGTTTTATTTGTATAGATGTGGTTTGTTCCATTTGATTGATATGTGGTGTTATTTTGAATGTTTTTTTTTTTACATTCTGTACTTTTAAAGAATTTAAAATGTGTTAACAGTCCCCTATTGATAGACATTTTTTTTCCTGTTTTGAACAGTTACATATTTTTGCAAATATTTTTTGATATAGATATGAAAACATTGCTGTTCAGCAGTGGTGAAGTTTCTGAATCTGATGATACGTCTATTATCTTCAAACTTTACAACTGATATCAACCTATTTCTAAAATGGCTGTGCTAGATTTTAGTCTCTCTATCACCACATAAAGATTGTATCAGATTGTTGGCATAATTGTCTTTTAAATTTTGGTCTTTCTGGGATGTTACGGTAAGAAAAAATTCTGTGTATTAGAAGTATAAATAATAGTAGTGTTTTACCTTGCATACCTCTGATAGTTCACAAAGTTTAATCAATTTTTGCATGTTTATTGCCCATCTGGATATTGTTCTTTGTTAATAATTCTCTTGGCCATTTGTGAAGGGGAAGCAATTCAATTTCTTATGGATGTGTATGAGTTAGTTGTGTATTCTGGATATTCTGGATATTAACCATTAGAAATTATATGTTGCATTAGTTAGGATTGTCCAGAGAATTAGAATCAGTAGGATTAATAAAGATATATCAGAGGAGATTTGTTATGGAAAATTGTCTGACACAATCATAGAGGCTGGAAGTATGCAGAATATGCCATCTGAAAGCTGGAAAACCAAGAAAGCTGGTGATGTAATTTTGTCCTTGAGGGGTTGAAAGTCCGATAACCAGGATCTCCTTTGTCTGAAACCAGAAGATTTATGTCCCAGTTTAAAAAGAGAGAATTAGTTTTTCTCTATCCTTTATTTTTTTTTCCCTAACAGGGCTCTCAAGGGATTGAATGATGCCCTCTTTCATCTGTGAGGTTGGTCTTTTTTACTGTCTACTGAATCAAGTATTAATCTCTTGTGTAAACACCAGCAGACACATGCAGAAATAATGTTACCAGCAATCAAGGCATCCCTTAGCCCAGTCAGGCTGACACATAGAATTTGCCATCACATAAGTGTTGCAAATACCTTTTCCCATAATGTAGCTTATTTTTTACATTTCAAATGATATCCTTTGGTGAATGTAAGTTCTTTATTTTCCTGTAGTTAATTTTATCATTCTTTCTTGGGCTCGTGCTTTTTGGGTCCTGTTTTAGAGGTTTGACTACCTTGAGAGGATGAAAATGTTTTCCTGTTATCATTTAGAAAAACGTCTTCACATTTTAGTATTTAAATAATCTGGAATTTACTTTTGTATACAGTAGGGGCCAAATGGTTTTTTTCTTCCTCTCCTCTTTCAGATAACAAATTGTCCTTGCACTATTAATTGAAAACATGCTCTGCTATGTTACTTTCTCATAGTGAAGGGTCTATGTATGTATGAATCTGTTTCAGGGTATGTTATTTTATACTTTTAGTGTATTGAGTTATTTCCCAGATTTAGACAACTATGAAAAAAGTTTCTATGAACCCTATTATACAGTCTTTGTGGGGATATCTTTTCTTTTTCTTGGGCAAATACCTTCCTTAATTTCTAAATTATTCCTAGTATTTCATATTTTTGGCACTTTTGTAAACAGTGTATTTTTAGTAATAAGTTTTATTTATTTGGTATTAATATACAGAATTAAAAAATTCTTTTAAGCTAAAATTTACACTCGTCAAAATTCACCACATTTAATATACAATCTTATGATGTTGACAAATGCATGTGGTTTGTAATCACCAACAAAATCATATGAAACAGTTCTTTGTAGTAAAATCCTTCCTCTAACCCTTACCTTGGAAAGCAATGAATCTGATGATATGTCTGTTTTCTTGGAAAACCATTATCTGTTTCCTTACCCTTTAACTGTGCCACTTTCAGAAGAGAGTTCTTGTGGAGCAGTGCCTAAGAAATCTTCACTGAACTCATGGTCACAGAAATTACCTCATATATTTTCTTTTAGAAATTTGTCCTTTTAAGCTTTAAGTTCTATAGTTTATTTTGAGTCAATTTTTGTCTGTGATGTGATGTATAGATTAAGTTTTGTTGGTAGTATTTTCAATTTCTTTACAAATGTGAAATAAGCTAGGCACAGAGGGACAAATATCATATGATCTCACTCATTTCTGGAAACTAGAAAAGCTGATCTCATGGAAGTACAGAGTGAATAGTGGTTACTAGAAGCTGGGGAGGGAAGGGAAGGCTGTAGAATAAGGGATAGGGAGAAACTGGTCAACAGTAGAAAATAAGATAGGAGAAATAAGGTCTGGTATTCCACTGTACAGTAGGGTGACTACAGTTAACCAAATTGTATTATACATTTCAAAATAACTAGAATAGAGAATTTTGGATTGCTCCCACTACACAGAAATTACCCTGATTTGATGATTATATAATATATACATGTACTAGCTATGTATGTGTCAGAGATAAAACTTCTAAATAATGTATTACTTCTTTACTGAATAGCATTGGCATCTTTACTGAAAATCAATGAAACATTTATGTGAAAATATATTTCTGGTCTGTCTGATTGGAGGTATTTTAACATAATTGATCTTTTTAAAGAAATAGCTTTGGTTTCATTGATTTTCCTCTGTGGTTTCCTGGTTTTGAGTTTTATAAATTTCTGTATTTTATTGTTCCTTTTTGGCCATTTTAGATGAGCCTTTTTTTTTTTTTTTTTTTTTTTTTTAATTCTTAAGGTGGAAGCATAGATAATTGATTTGAAACCTCTCTTATTTTCTGCAATCATTTAATGTTATGAATTTTCTCCTAAGAGAAGCTTTGGCTGCATCACACAAACTTTGATATATTGTGGTTTTATTTTTCCTTAATTCAAAATATTTTCTAATTTCTCATTTGTCTGCTTTTTTGAGTCATACATTATTTATCAGCATGTTGTACTGTGCTGTGTGTAATGGAGACACAGTTATTTGATCTAGTTCCAAAAAAAATACAGTACCTGAACCATGGAGAACAGCACAGTAACTATTATTAATCTCTAGTATTAATCACAGAACCAACTAAAAGCCATTTGTGGCAAATCCCTTGAACCCTGCTGGTATCATAAATTTGAAAGCTACTGTGAGAATTATGTAAATACTGAATTTATAATTCCTAGTAAAAGTCCCTTAAAATTCTATGTCCTTAAGTGCATTTTTTTTTTACGATCACAACTTTATTTTGCAATGTAAGCACCATATATCACATATTGATACATGGAGAGAAGTTTCTAATGTTTTATAAAAGTAAGTTCCTAAATGGTTAATAAAATATAAAATCATACAATTTATGGTAACGTCTTTGCACTATTTAAACCACAAGAAACAAAATTTAAAGAAGAAAAAATACTAGCACTAGGTAAAAACATTATACATTTTTCCAAGCAGTGATAGTCTAATTTTTTTTAAAGATTATGTTTCTTAGTGTGTTGGCATTTTACAAATCAGTAGGATATTGGTGAATTACAAAATAGAAGTGGGACTCCTATCGTTTTGCTTTTTCTTTCTTCATAAATAAATTTTGAATGCATTTAATCACTCATATTTGGTCAAGATCTTGACAAATTTATTGCTAGGATATTTTTATCTCCCTACAAAAATTCTTGAGCTCTCTTCAAGACATTGCTAAGTTAGTAGGAAACAACTTGATCCTTTTGCTTTTAAGCACTAATTTTCTTTCCTACTGAGACAAAATCCTTTCTTTGCATTCTGACAATCCTTGAAATATGAGGCTTTCTACCCTGGTTGGTAGGAACAGACACTTTCCTCAATCATGCTTAAACATCAGCAACTGTTCTTTCAGGTGTTTTCTTTTTCTGGAGATGGGTAATTTCTTCACAGGCATGCATGATTAATAATCAGCTGTGTGCTGAAAGGGGACCTTCTGAAGATTTCTGGAGTTCTGACTTTGCACATCTCTCCTCTTTCTCTGGCAGTATGCACTGCAAATTCTAGGCATCTTGGCTTCCTCTAATTTCCAACTCTGTCTGCTCAACTCAGGGAGACCACTGCATTTGATTGAATTTTTTTCTCCCTGCACCACGCCCTAGTAACTTTCTTCAGCTGAGGAAGTGTTAGAGCTTACCTTATTTGCTTCTCTCAGGGATTTCTGTCCTTTGTATTTTTTTTTGCCAAAATGTTTTCTTAAGTGCTCATACCTCTCGCTGGGTTTTGATAAGAATCAAATCATAAAAATGATTTGTAAACCACAAAATTTTATGTAGTCATTATGTTGTTTTACTACTATATGATAATCAACTGAAACTTAGTAGCTGAGTGCTACAGAAGATCTTACATTTTTTACATTAGCATTATAACTTATATCTAAAAATATAATTTAAAATAAAAAAACAATGCTGAATGCATTATGTGGTATGACTATATGGAAATTCAAGTTGATCTTAATGGTAAGAAAAATTACTTTGTACTATAAAGACTGCTCTTCCACAATCTGAAACTCAGAGGCTCAGATGTTTCTGTTGCATGTTTTTGTCTCATGAATACCCTAATTATTATCATCTAGTTATTATTCTTTATTTATTCTTATTCAGTGAAACAACTCTGTGATAATATCTTCCTACTGTTTTCTCCACCAGAAATTCACCCAATTGCTGAGAAGAGAGTGCAATGTATCAGTTTTTACTTACTTGAAGAATACGTTGTTTTACATTATATAAATAACTTTGGGGTGTCTTTCTTTTTATGTTACAGATATATGAAGTGTAGGGGTAAGACTTGCAATAATTTCCCTTAAGGTAAGGACGTTTTCATTTTTTCTGTTTCCATTTGTTCAGAGCTACCTATAAAGCACATTAAAAGGACTTCTTCTGAGAAAGTTGACCTATTCAAAATTTGAATTATGAGGAAAGTTTGTCTGCTACTAATGAGACAAGTTTTCTAAGACAATTCAATATATCTCCTCTTCAAAAATTTCTTTGGCATCACCTGAAATTATAAAAGACTAAGATTTTGAATAAAAGTTTGTTTTTTCTTCATCTGCTTCATTTTAGACACCTGAGTATATGCTATTAGCTATGATTAGGCTTTGTGTTCCACCCAAATCTCTTCTTGAATTGTAATAATAATCACATGTCAAGGGAGAGACCAAGTGGAAGAAATTGAATCATGGGGGCGGTTCCTCCATGCTGTTCTCTTGATAGTGAGTTCTCACGAGATCTGATGGCTTTATAAGTGTTTAGTAGTTCCTCCTGCGTTCATTCTCGTCCCTGCCGCCTTGTGAGAAAGGTGCCTTGCTTCCTCTTTGTCTTCTGCCGTAAATGTGAGTTTCCTGAGGCCTCCCTAGCCATGCTGAACTGTGAGTCAAGAAAACCTCTTTCCTTTATAAATTACCCTGTCTTAGGCAGTTCTTTATAGCAGTATGAAAACAAACTGATACCCTAATGAAGAAAAATCAAAGATTAATTTTTATTGTAAAATACTGTAAATTTTATTATGTACTTGCTTAATATTCAATATCTCATAAGGATAATTCTATCAAAGCTCATGCAGACAATAGAAAGAGAAGAATGCAAAGTGGCATTTCAGTGGCCTCAATTTACCAATTGCTTAGTAAGCCAAGAACATGAGTAGGAAGTAGAGTAAATATAAGCTACCATAAATCTAAATATGAATGGATTGATTGAAAATGAGGTGAAAGACAGTACCAGGCAAACATCTTTATTAGATATCATGTCTGAGAATACACTCCTGTCATTCAGATTTGTTTATAATGCCAATGGGAACAAATACCTGCCGACTTACATGGAGCTAAAAGTTGATGCTGAATGAAAATCAGTTTAGCCCATCTAAATCAAGGGTCTGTGTCTATTTAAGGCCAGAACAAATGATTATTCCATGTAGTTAAGCAGCGAAGCCTGTTCATTGGTGGGAGGTGAGGCTTTGTTATTATTTTGACCAAGTAGACTGGATTTGGTAAATGATAGCAAACATTAAATTATTTTAGTATTTGTATAATGGAAGAGTATTTTCTTTTTATATTTATTTTTATACATAGCAAAATAAATGTCAAGTCAACCAAGTAAAATGATTGATTTGTCTCTGGAAAATAGAACAGAAATTTCAAAGAGCTCTCAAAGCATTAAACTAAATGTCCAAGGGCTGTAGAGGGAGACTCCATGGAAAACTGTGTTCAAATTGGTGCAGATTGTCATATCAATGCAGCATATGTCCCATTATTAACTACACAGCTCAGTATGGTGGGAATGGCACATCTGTGCAGTAACAGGTACATTGAAAGAAAAGAATAACTTACATTTTGGCACCTCTTTATTTAAATTGGAGAACTTTCAATCTTTTTATAATCCTCTTTTTTTCTAAAGATAGATGGGTTAAAAATATGTGACTAGGAGATGAAGATTTCAATCTAAATTATAATTATTTCCTACATCTGTTCTGATACATTTAGAATGGCTTGTGCTTGTAAATTAGGTGTTAATGAAATAAAAATGTTGTAACCATGTGGAACATAAGAATTGCAATTGACTGAAGAAGGTTCTCTAAATTCTCCAAGGAGATTTGACTACAAAGAAAACTCTCATGTGCTACCTACTATACACAAAATTATGTCTTTATACACTTAACTGTTAAATTTAAAGTAAAAACCTAAAAATTGCCAAAGAGAAGCATTACTAAGAACTGCCTTTTAAAGACAAGCATTATACTTTTATTACTTTGTCTTTACTTCATTTCTGAACCATTTAGCTGAACAGTGTATAAAAGACATAATATTTTACGGCCTTCTAGACCCACTCCACAGGGATACAGGCTGAGAAATGTGCCAAATCATCCTTAAAGGTGAGCTGGTAGCAGTGATGGTCTGCCTTGGTTGCCTGCTCTTTTTAATGTTCTGGTCACAGGCTCTGTATTGTTATGCAATAAATTCTACTTCTGCTAACTAGAGGATATTGCAGTTATATTTTTGTTAAAAAAAATTGCCCAATTTAATACAATTTATATTTAAGTGATATATATTTGTATTAAGGGATGAATTGAATAAAACTACAACTGTATCTTTCCTAAGAAAGCCTTCCAGCACAATTTGGTATTAGTTTTGTTAAATTAAGGTGAATTACTGAAAAACAGAATTTTAAGAAATATGCGGTTATAATACTGTACAAATTGCATATAATATTATAAAATTGTTTTCATATATCCCCAGGAGCTTAATTCCAATTTGTCTTTTATTATGGACAAAATATCTACTAGGTGTTCTGTGGAAATATGTTTAATACTTTGATATTACTTGAATATTGCTAATTAATGAATACATTTGAAAAATAACATCAAAGAATTTACACTTGACAAAATAAATTATTACCAAATTCAGAGACAATTTGACTAATTATGACTATATGCAAATTCCAGTATAACGTACTAAGATTTATTTAGATAAAATATCAATACAATTTTTGATTGTTAGAAATTTGAAATAACCTTACTTGAACTTTACTCCATGTTGTGAGTGTATATAGCTTTTCAAACAAAAATGGCCTATTTAAGTAGATTAAATAAAATTCATATATTTTAGGTGAGACATCAGCTAAGAGAAACTTGTAACTAATTCTCATCATGATTGATGAATTATTATGTAAGCAATTTTCTCCAATGGAGGGAAACCTTCAAAGTACATCTTATTTTACTGTTGGACTTGTCATTGTTCTCTGTGTTCTTATTTACTTTCTTAAGTGCTTCGTGTTATTTTTCTCTTTGAAGAAGACAAATGTATTAATACTGTCAAAAATAGGCCTTCAATTTACTCCTTATGCGCGATTCTTAAACATTTTTATGTATTAAATTTTTCAGTATCTTTACTGCTATTAAAAATGGGGATAAAGAAGATATCTGAATATAATTATTGACTAATAAGTTGAAGATTGATTTGTAGACAAACTACATAAATAAAAATAATAAAGCCAACACTTATGGCAATATTTGCTTACTTGATTATTTTGTTGTTCTGATATATAGAAACTCAGTTTTGTGATCCCTGCCAAGCCCTTAAAGCTAAATGGTGGGATTTCAAATTGTTATCCAACCTTAAGGTATTTTTTAAATTATTGATTTCCCAGGTTTGTGTTTTCTTTTTCAGCTCTGCCAGACAAAGACATACTTTTGCCAGTAAAATATATGTAAAAATTGATAGCCAGGATAAGAGATATTTAATTATAATATTTCTTTTTAAAAAATTGCTAACAAAAATTTTGTATTGAAAAATATAGATAGGTACAAGTCGTCTTTTTTTTTTTTTTAACAACTCAATCCTGCAAAACAATAAAAATACATTAATTCATTTGAAGGATTTAAACATGTAGCCTCGTGCAAATTCCCTTTTACTCTAAGGATGAACACTATTTCTCCCTTTTCATGATTTTTTTCCACAATTTGAGCCTAAAATTGAGGAACTAAAATTTAAAAAAATCCATCACTCATGAGAAACTCTCCCTCTAAATCTTACAGATCTCATTTCTTTATGATTGCTTGAATTGTCAGGCCATTAAAAATACATCATTCCCAAAGACTTTATTGTTGATATATTTTCCTAAATATATCAAAGCAATGAGATAATAAAAGCTACATATTTTGAAGCACTTAGGTCAACTAATCCCCTTTGGCATTCTTTCTTGCCCATGTTTGCTAACTTCACTTATGCATCAGGTTTTGTTAGTTACCTGAGCTATTCTTCCAGATATTACCCTATGGCTAATATATAGATTTGAGGTAGTTTTATGTTCAAGCAAATTAATCATCTTAATTTGAAAAATGACAAAAAAATGCTTATGCTTTTAAATTGTTATTTATATTTGAACTTAGACCATTTATTTGCTCTAAAAGTTGAAAATCATTCCAACTGAAAAGATAACTTAAAAATTCTAATCAATACAATCACATATATGCTTTTCCAAGAAATAACCTGATTACAAAAAAGTAAAAGGTCATTCCTATATAGATTTACGATTCTAATTTATTCCTATTTTATCAGACTTGATTTTTACCATACCCTTTCATTGCTTCTTTGAATTAAAAATTTTTATTCTTTTTTGCTGAGACAGCCTCTCACTCTCTTGCCCGGGCTGGAGTGCAGTGGCATGGTCTTGGCCCACTGCAACCTCTGCCTCCTGGGTTCAAGTGATTCTTATGCCTCAGCGTTTGGAGTAGCTGGGACTACAGGCACGTACCACCACACCTGGCTAATTTAAAGTCTTCTTGTGGTTTTAAGGTTGATTTGAACAAATGCAGCCTTTATGACTCATAGAAATGTATCACTTCTAGAGACCCATCTGAGATTTATACTCATAGAGTGTTTACTAATGGTAATATAAAGTAAAGGTCACCCTAGCAACAACAAAAAGAAAAAACAACCATTGCTGAAATATCTTATCTGGTATGCTATAAGTATTCTAAGCATTATTTATGAATGTCTCTTAAAATATATTTATTAGATCAATAACTCACTCTGAAGAGCTCTTGAATGACATTTTTAATTAGTTATAGCACAATGATGGAACTACTATTTAATCATTGTTTCACAAGTAAACATGAGACAATTTAACTGCTGATTTCAAGCAAATTATTCAGTATGTTTCATGTGATTTCTTTTGTCAGTAAAATTGAAGTTTTCTTTCTATATTAAACGAATCTTTGAAAAAAATGTGTTACACAATATTTAAGCATTGTCTTCTCTATATGTGTTTAATATTACAGAGGATAAACAATGACTAATGGGTATTAATCAAAATAAGTAAAAATTATGACTACTGAAGCAGAAATGACTAAATTCTCATAATTCATTTATAATAGCTTTGGGATCGGAAAGGAAACAATCAAAACAGTAACATCGA